ATCGCCAGCAGCAGCAGCGAGTCGCCAGCAGAGAGATGTCACTGCAGCAAAACACTATTGTACACGGTACCAACGCTGTTCTAATATAGACAATGGGTCGTGCTCATATTATTTGTTATATTTTTATTTCATTATTTTCACTTGACTCGCATAAATAATTTTGTTCGAAGAACATTTTATGCAGTTGTACTTCGCAGCACTTCACTTGCAATTTGCAATTTCTAGTTTGTAGCCATATTCTTGGCATAGAACCTTATATTGGCTGGCAGCCAATGTTTTTACTATTTAGGATACTCAATGCTTTATTCATGTTGGGATAACACTTTGTGAGTAAAGTTGTTTTGATCATGAACAAAAAATACTCAATATGTGTGAGGAATTGAACCCAGACTCCTCTGATTAGAAGAGAATCTCAACTATTTTGATACAGAACACTGGCTGTTCATGTGATGAATTTTAAATGCATAACATGTACATTATTAAAGAACAAAGGGATTTTAGATGGCCTATGCTGTTAGCTTAGGGGTACAGCAGCTCCCCTTATAATCATGAAAAAGGAAACTTAGCAATTATGGTTTAGGCCAATGGGGTGTTTGCTAGGCCTGTAATATTTGGAGCTAGGCGTGGAGGAGTACTGACTCATGCCTTGCGTAATGCATACCATACAGCTAGTAATGAATTTCAGTTCCATATCTTTCGCTTTATTCAGTTGGCTAATTTAAAGGAAAAGCATAAGATTTTTTTGGCTGAAAGAACTTGCCATATAATCACTATGAAATTCTGTATGTCTCTTTAAAATAGACTTCAAAATGCAGGGATCTCCTCAAAATTTCTTTCAGGTTTGTTTTATTAGGAAAATACTTTATGACAATATTTTAGAGGTAGTCCCTAGATTCCTAATAGATATCCAATAATGAATCCAATAGTGAATAATCTGAAATAAAAATATAGAATAATAATAAACTGATTTTAATGTGCAAAAGGATTGCTCTATTGATGAACCAAACTATCGTAAAACCTCGAATAGTAGCCCAGTGGTCTTAATCTCGAGAAGAAGCCCATCTTGGATTGAAGCCCCTCTTTATTTAGCAAAAGTAGCTTCGAAAAGAAGCCCATCTGAAGAAGAAGCCCATGGGCTTCTTTTTCGAGATAGTACAGTACCTACACTGTACATGAATTTCCAAGAAACAAAATAAATTAAAAACATGATTGGTTTTTACAGTAATTTTAGTGATTTAATGCCGGTTAATACACTCCATGATATGTTATAGTGGTCCTTTTTATTGTTTTATAATAGTAATTTCCAAAATTAAAAGCATTCATTTTGAAAAGAAGCCCTCTCCCCCCCCCCCCCAACCTTTACTTTGCAAAAGTAGTCTAGAAAATAAGCCTATCTCAAAAAGTAGCCCATCTAAAGTTTGCAAAAAAAAGCAGCCCAGGGCTTCTATTTAAGGTTTTTTTTTGTAGATTTTCTGTTGAATTTTAATCAAGTTTCACTGTAAAATGTATTATATTATAAATAGATATCTGTATAGAACATTAATAATGTATATAAAACAACATATGGTATTGAGAAACTGAAGTAACAATAATGATGGTAGGTAAAAAATAATTTAATTTCTTTCCTGAATATTTTTTTTTCCTCAGGATCAGCTTAAATAAAAGCTAAAATCAAAAAATTAATAATAATAAGAGTGGTATCACCACTCTTATTATTATTAATTTTTTGATTTTTTGAGTTCAGGTTTATAAGCAATAAACAGTTTGCTATGATAAGTATATTTTATCACTTGCAGTCATATATTAATTAATTTTCTTCTGTGTTCCCCTATTTCTTTTTTTCTTCCTCCTCCTCCTCCTCCTCCTTCTGATCTTCATCATCATAATCATCCTCCTTATACTAGTCCTTTTTTTCTTCAGGGCACATCAATCCAATTTTTAAAATAGTGTAACTTAAATCACCTCTCCATCTCTGCTTCCATCCACACCCTCTTTGGCTGTCTTTAATTGCTTGTCTTATCCATCTGTTGTCTCCTATTATAGTATTAGATGTCCTGTCATCTCCACTTCTTTCTTAAATTATAGGATATACTGTATGTGTGGCATTAAAGTGTAAATATACATGGATGGATAAAATTTAATATTAATGCTCAACACAACTTGAAGTACGTACTGTGCTTAGGTCCAGGCCTGTGTAAATAAACTGTATGCATTTTTTATCATGCGGAATATTACAATTATCATTACTAGTTTTCATCAGGTTTTCCATTCCAACATAATTTTTTCAGACTATATAGAATGTGTTACAGATACCTTCTGTGTTTTAAACTGAATTTAAATGTTATATAAAGTCTGTAAGTAATTTATCATAATTTTGTAAATATAATCTTTTATTTACAAAATTATGATAAATTTTGTAAATATAATCTTATACTTGTTAGCATGTTATGGGTTTTATGATGGTGTAGCATGCCCTTTTTGTGACAGTGTTCTTTGAGTATTTTTGCTAATCTTAGCATTGATGTAGGTATGATTGACATGAGTGCTGATTTACAATGCGGTAGTAAGGTGAGGTGTGCTCTAGCGGAAGAATGAAGTGGTGTGAGGGGATCGTTAACTACTGAGCTCAGCAAATCTGTGAAGTGCCCAGATAGGGCATTCAACTGTTTTCTGGGGATATGCACACCCTTTACTCCCTTAGATACACCACTAAGTTAAATAGTTAAATTGTCTCCTGTGCATCTCATTTTTTTGTTTTTGTTATTCTTATTATTATGGTTATAAAATTTAATCTGTTTGACATGAAATTTGGAGTATGGTAAAGATGTTTAATTTTTTTTACCTTTAAAGTCTAGGCTCTTGGGTTTGATTCCTATATATACACAGAACAATTTTTTAATCACTGTCTTAATATTTATTTTGGGGTAGAATTTTCAATTAAGGCACTGAATCGGAATGATAATCCGGAAGATATCACAAATAACAAATTGTTTCAACAGTTTTGAATATTCAACCAAAAAATTCATAGACTACAATATGGCAATAAATCATTCTCTTGCACCACACAGTTCAGTCTGTCTCGCCAAAAGTATTGTCATCTCAAAAAATCACACATTGTTCTCAAAATAGGTTTTTTCCCTTATCTTGACATTTCTGAGTGTCTTATATACTTTGGCCTAAGCTGCTAGATAAACATATTATCCCAATATGCAGTAATAATGGGTTCCCACAGGGCAGATACGAGATTTGAGGCTGATTTTATATAAATGCTTTTATATATAATTATTATTTTTACAGTATAACGTAAATAGCAACTCTCCAGCGAATAATAGTAACTGTGGGGTGGATACAGGATTTTGAAGTTAGTTTTTTTTATAGTATATAAATTCTGTATGTGATAGTTTTGATAAGAACATCGTGAAGTGATTTTTCATGGTTGATAAATAATTAGCGTGAGCAACATGGCGTGTAATCCCGCTCAAGTCAGGAGAGGAGATGTACTGATTGAAGTAAGATAAAATTAGTATTCAACAGGAAACAACCAAGGTCAAGATTAGATAATGACATTTTATGAAAACAGAATTTAAAATGGTAGACTACCATTGGATGTATTTATTTGTTGTGTACACCAAGGATAACTCAAGAAAGTTTGAAGAAGACAGTAGCGATGGGAATTTAACCGGGGACCAAGGGATCTCCACAGTTCAGTGCACATAGTATCTACCACCAGTTTAGCACACTGAGCTAGCTGCTCTCATACTGAGCTAGATGCTACCATGTACTGTTATTTAAAATCACACGATGAGGGTAACTTTGGTATGAAGGAACACTTATACCAAACACTTCCAATTCGAACTTTCAATAAAATGGCATTAAATGTTTTGAGAAAATGATCCCGATTAGGATTTGAACCCAAGACCTTATGATTATCATTCATATACTCTATAAATGAAGCCATTGGCCAAGTGGTACAGCCTTGGATTTTCCCATTTAGGACATTTTTATCTTGGAAACTAGAGTAATGGGTTGACTCCTGTTAAGCCAGCAATCTCCATTTTATGGAGAAAGCAACAGCACAAAGAGCACTCAACGGATCGTTTTTAATGAGGGTCTGTTCAGATTCGTCGGCCGATGGTCGTACGATGTAGTGAGTGCCCGGCTTTACCGTATGCAGACCACTGAAGCCTTTTTTCCCCCAGGCGAATTTATTCGCACAAATCGAAAGCTTCTGCGCATGCGCATTCACATTTCTGTCTTGAGTTTTTCGCTGAAGCGAAATCAGTAATTCGAACTGTTTCTACTTTTTGCGAAGCGAAAAAATGTGTAACCAATCAGATCTCAGGAAGAGAACTGAGGCTTTTAATTCGCGCGATTGAATTCGCCTAGTGAAAAACAGGCTTAACACCATCCAGCTCCTTAGTACAACCTTACAACTTAGGAGTTTTCAGTAAAAGTATATCTTACATACAGGAAATAGTGGAAAACTTGATATGTAGTATGATTAAAATTGTATCCAAGAAAACTAACCCTTCCTGAGACTGTCACCAAACACATGCTGGGGTATTCTGATGTTTCAAGGTCTATTTAGATTTTTTTTCTTCTCAAAATTTGTTTTCTCAAGTTCATGTCATTGAAGATGACTTAATAAAGGTTGAAATTACAAAGCATGGCTTCCCTCTTTATTTGTAGTTACATTCATGTTACTAAGCATAATTAGTGCATCTGTTGGTTGATACTGCATTAAGTACTGAAGTGTGGCTGTGATACAACCAATTCTGGATGTTTATTTTAACAAGCATATCAGAGACGAGTTAAGGTTGTTGCAAAACAGAATAGGGGAACTTTACGGATTCATTTGTTTTGAGGAAAATTTATCTTTCTGTTCCTGCCTTTCTAAATTCGAAGTTAACTCATCATGGATTTTCATTACAAATTATGTCAAATTATTCCCTGTTGAATTACAACCTTCAAATTGCTCTCCAGAATAATATTTGAAATATCAATAAGGAATCTATAACATTTGCTGCTGCTATTCCAGTGTTGTGTCAGTCAACATTTTGACATGTCACCAACATACATTAACTGGGTCTCCTTCCCACTATCATGTTCGTAACATAAATTGTGATGGTAAAGGAAATGTCATAAAGTAATGTTACTCATTTTCGACCTCAAGTGAATATACTGTAAACCACAAAATGGCTGGCGAATCATTTGATAGCCACACGTAAATACTCTAAATTTCTTGTTCATTTAACCATATTTTCTTCTTAATTCACTTATATTATTCATGTGATGTATTTGAAATGGAACATAAATTACTGCTTGAAATACACCATTGAACCTTATTTAGATTTCATAAATTATGCCTGTTTTGTTGTATTTTAGAGTACCTGAATGCAGACAGAATTAATTGGTCTCTGGTTTAAATTAATAGATTGGATTTGTGAAAGTGAATTTCATAGGAGCACCAACTAGTATCTACTGTACACTGTATGTCTAACAAATCAGAATGTGGTGGTTTTTTTGTGGGGGGGGGGGGAGGATGGAGAGGAAGAGGGATGAATGTACATTATATGATGTATGTTGGAAGATGTGGTGGCAGAGGGCATTGAGTTTTATAATTATAAACAATTTGATTTTGAATAATTAATTGCTACATATAATTATGTTTGCATGTTATAGTAATACATTGAGCTTCTCACTATCTGACAGTGAGTTCCCTTCCTTTTATCTGTAGTTGATTGTTGATCATTTTTTCATACTAATGTGCAAGATATTTTATAAATATAGCTTAAATTTACTCAATCATCATTTTTTTCTTCTCAATTCTGCACTGAAAATTTGCAGAATTAGTTTACATTTTTTACTCCGTTGGCTCTAGCCATGTTATATAACATCTATTACACACCCTTCTTTCTTAAATTAGCAGAATTGATTTATATTTTGTTACTCTCGTGGCTCTAGCCATGTAATATCGTGTCTTACACACCCCTCCTGCTTAAATTAGCAGAATGGATATATATTTTGTTACTCTCTTGGCTCTAGCCATGTAATCTTGCATCTATTACACACACCTCCTGCTTAAATTTTCAGAATTGATTTATATTTTGTTACTTTCTTGGCTATAGCCATGTTATAATTTTATATCCTGGTAGCATCTATTACACACCCCTCCTGCTTAAATTCGCAGAATTGATTTGTATTTTGTTACTCTCTTGGCTCTAGCCATGTTATATCGTGTCTATTACACACCCCTTCTTATATGCATATCATTACTATCACAGGTCTTTGCTGATGTTTCTCTACGGCAACAAAATCACACAACGGCAAATTGTTGCCTTTGGTATACATAATCTAGGGCATGCAGTGACAGCCAGCTAGGAAATGGATTAATGGGGATAATGTACTCACCCTTGACATTATTAATGTTCAATTAGTTAATTAAAACAACAGTAAAGTTTTTATTTCAATAAAATCAAAATAATTCCCAGCCAAATATGAACCGACATTGTCTGTTAGGATTCTTACAGTTTATAAAATAATATATTTCTGATTAATTTTGATTGTTGTATATGGATTACTGCAGGTTTTGTGTTGGTTTTCACTTTAGTTCACTACATTTTTTCCCTAAAGCATCATCACAGGTTCAGAAACTGTTTGTGATATCAAACAACATTAATATACAGTACAGAAATCATTGTTCCTGAGAAACAAGTCTTTTCGATCCCAGGATATGAGTAAAAGTAAAACAAAATACTGAAAATATTTTTGCTCTTTCAAAAACAATATTTTAGAAATATACCTTGGTGTTTCAGGTGTGCCCTAGAATTCATCAGTCTTTGCTTTTGTTTGATTTTTTTTTCTCAGCATTGAGATTGTTTTAGTGAAGAAATAAATGAAATGATATGATTTTTATTGAAATTTTCTCTATTCTCTTTAAAATAATACTGTTTTATTCCCACAGAGCAACGCCAAGCACCACCAAGGCCCCCACCACCTAATATCCAACGTCCCCCTGCTACACAAGCTCCTCCAGCTACACACTCTCAACCAGCCGCATCAGCACCAAGTGCTCCACAAGGAATGCCTTATCCCACTCAACCTGGGTACCCAGGATACCCTGTACAACCAGTGTACACACCCCAGTATGCTCCAATGCCGACAGGATACAACCCATACAGTCAACCACAGCCTCAGCAAGGATACCCCCAGCAGGCTTATGGCTACCCACAACAGCAGTATGGCCAGGCCCCCTACCCACAGCAACCTGGGTATCCACAGCAACCGGGGTACCCACAGCAGCCATATCCGTACCCCCAACAGCCACGGTAAGGTTAGGATAACATTATCCATGAGATGCTCGTTTTACATGTTGAATGAATATAGGCTGGAATGTGTTATATGGACAATGATAAAATCATTTTTGGGAATTTTTTTTAGATGAGCTTAATTTTTTAATGATCTTGACGTAGATTTGTTGTAGATTTTTAATCATAGTAAATACAGTTGCTGGAATACAGTCAAAATATAATTATTGATTCATCAGTAACTTTTGGAAAAGGGCCATAAAAATAATGAATTATATGGTATTAACTGTGGCAATAGAATGTCAATTGTTCTCATGTTTGGTAAAAGTTTATTTGCATTTTCAGTTTATTTGCACATTCTGATTGTCCAGTCACATTTCAAAGACCTCACTTGAGTCATAATACTCAGCCTATAGAGAATAGAGGCACTAACTATACCAGGGAGGTATAGAAATGGAAAAAAAAATAATGTAATATGATTTTGTATACCTCCCTGCCTGACTATAAGAAGATAATTAATTATGAGATGTCTATGCTGTATGTTAAATAAAAAAAGCATTTTGGAATTACTACATATTCGTACCATCACCTGAGTCATAACACTCAAACTATAGAGAACAGAGCCACTAACTATACCAGGGAGGTATAGAAATGAAAAGGAAAAAAATGTAATATGATTTTGTATACCTCCCTGACTACAATAAGATAATTAAATATGAGATATCTGTAGTGTAGGTTAAATAAAAAAAAAAGCATTTTGGAATTACAACATATTCGTAAATATTATTGGAGAGCATGTGAAATGGTATTTAGTGACCATCTTTAGATGAACGAAAATAAATTAACTTGCACTTACAGAAAGCACCTATGCTGAGCCTTTTTTAGAAATAGAACATAAACTAGGCTTAATGTAAAAGACAGCACCAAGCACCTATGTGATTAATTTTGAAAATTTTGTGCTGAAGAAGATATATAAAACTGTTCTCTAAATCATAATGCCGGCAATAAAATTGATTGATAATTATACCGGTATCTAAATTGACCAAATGTAATAAGCACTCTACAAGTATAAACATAAAATACATAAATGCGAACATATAAGTATTATTATTTATAAGTATGCTAACACAATGCAGTGAGACACCCACATATTACTAATTTTTTTACTGCCAATATTATTACAAATCAATAAAATAAATTTTATGTTGTATAAATAAAACAAGTTTTTTAAGTAAGTTTTATAGACTTATTTAATGCTGCTTATTAGAGAATAATAATGCACAATGTGCAACAGCCTCCACTCCCTGGGGACTATATTCTTAATCACTCATCTAATTCACCACTAACCAGTATATTTCCATATCAATTTCCAGGTTCTAATCCTACTGGGTACCCATCTTATCATTGCCACACATTCATTTACTTTTGGATAGAGAATGAAGCTTTAAGGGTAGACACAGGCACAACTAATTCACCAATATATTTCCACGTCAATTGTCAGGTTATAATCCTTCAAGTTACTCATCTTATTCTCAAGTACCCATTTACTTTTGGGTGGAGAATTGATCTTTAAGGGAAGAGAAAAGCTCAGCTAATTCACCAATGTATTTTCATATTAATTGCTGGGTTACAATCCTACAAGTTACCCATCTTATCATTTCCAGGTACCCATTTACTTTTGGGTGGAGAATTGATCTTTAAGGGAAGAGAAAAGCTCAGCTAATTCACCAATGTATTTTCATATTAATTGCTGGGTTACAATCCTACAAGTTACCCATCTTATCATTTCCAGGTACCCATTTACTTTTGGGTGGAGAATGGATCTTTAAGGGAAGAGAAAAGCTCAGCTAATTCACCAATATATTTTCATATTAATTTGCTGGGTTACAATCCTACAAGTTACCCATCTTATCATTTCCACGTATCCATTTACTTTTGGGTGGAGAATGGAGCTTTAAGGGTAAAGACAATCATACAGAAAGTGTCAAGTAGTGCGACCAGATTTAGACTAAAAATTTTTGACCTTATATGCAAGACTTAATTTTAAATTTACAAGTTTAATGATATTGAATATATATATATATATATATATGAATATATATATATATGAATATATATATAGTAAAAAAATATATGTTATATATAATAAAAAAGAAAATCAAATGTGCATTGTTAAATTTAAACATTTTTTGATTTATTAAATTAAATTAGTTCTTTGTTTTACATTTTGTGTGTTTGTGTTACATATTCAATATCCCTTTTTTTTTAATTCTTAAGGTTGTGCTAAAAGCTTACCTGTAAGCATTATAGAAATAGGTAAATGTGGTGATTTATTGATGATACTAAACTTAGTTTTATTAAATGTCTTGGTTGATTAGTTTGTTGTTCCTATTTTGATTAAGTAATATTTTTATTGCCTTGGATGTAAACAATTGATATTTCATAATGTACTGTTTGTCTCAATTAAAATAAGTGCAGTACAAACAACCAATTGTTAAATTTATTTTGTATTATTAATTAGAGTTACAGAACATAAATGATTTTTCGGGGTTTCTATGCAAGAGGAACCAACAGTTTCCAGTCACAATTTATAGATGTGTGTCTGTGTGTATGATCTTATTTTGTGTTGTATGAATTTTTCCCAAAAAAAGCCCTACCAAACGTTTAAACTGGCGATTGAAGAAACCGCTATTTGAAAATATATGCGCTATATTAATAAATCCAAAGTAATGGTACGCGCTCTCTCTCTCTCCGAAACATTGTATGATATCTTGTGGTGTTTTCCATCACTTGTCTGTCAGAGACGTGAGTTTATGTCCTACAGTGTGTGGCTCAGGGCGTAAAGACGCGACTTCACATCCAAACGTAGCAGTTTTGTTTTTATATGTAAACTCGGTAATGGTGGCTGGAACACAAACTTTGCCCCTGGTGAGAACCCAGTTAAGCAATGATCTAAAATAGATACCATATTTTAGTTCATGTTTTATTACTGTTGATCGGAATGTCGCGCCCTCTATGTCTTGGCACGTATGCAACTTTAGGAAAAGGCGTGGCAACCAATGTGTTAACTGAGATAATACACAAATCACTTTCTTTGAACATACTGCACTAGCACCTCATAGTTTTAGACTCAAAATTTTTGACCTTATAAGCAAGACTTAATTTTATATTTACAAGTTTAATGATATTGAATATATATATATATGAATATATATATAGTAAAAAAATGTATGTTTTATATAATAAGAAAGAAAATCAAATGTGCATTGTTAAATTTAAACATTTTTTGATTTATTAAATTAAATTAGTTCTTTGTTTTAATATATCTTATGATGTTTTCCATCACTTGTCTGTCAGAGACGCGAGTTTATATCCTACAGTGTGTGGCTCAGGACGTAAAGACGCGACTTCACATCCAAACGTAGCAGTTTTGTTTTTATATGTAAACTCGGTAATGGTGGCTGGAACACAAACTTTGCCCCTGGTGAGAACCCAGTTAAGCAATGATCTAAAATAGATACCATATTTTAGTTCATGAGTGTTTTATCACTGTTGATCGGAATGTCGCGCCCTCTATGTCTTGGCACATATGCAACTTTAGGAAAAGGCGTGGCAGCCAATGTGTTAACTGAGATAATACACAAATCACTTTCTTTGAACATACTGCACTAGCACCTCATAGTTGAGCTGTCTTCTATATACATGCACATGTGTCCAAAACTTCAGAGCAATTACAAGTTTATGGAGATGTTAGGTTTTTTTATCATAGTAAATTTAACCTTTTTTTCGAGTAGGCATATTGCACAACATGTTAAAAAATATATTATTTAACTACAGTATTTCATTGATAGTTGCAATAAAAGGAGTGATTGATTGATTAATTGATGGATTGATTGATAGAAGTAGGAAGTAGATAAATTCTTTTAAGTGAACTAAAATAATATGTACTATAACAAACAGTACATACCTTTTAGTGTACTAAGTTCCACTTTCATGTAATTATTTAAAGCTTGCATGCTATGTATAAGATAAGCTTTAATAACCTACACAAAGACATTTGTTTGTGATGCATGCATCCCCAGTATTTTTAAATACAATTTCCCCTTACCTGGGCAAGTTGGGTTCATCTGTGCTTGCTATATTATGTTATTTATTGATAGGGCTCTCTGTAATAATGTATTTGAATGATACAGTTAATTAGGAAAAGACTGATATGAACTTTGCTTAATTTTGCCATATAATTTTGTTGATGCTTTATTAATATTTGTCTAGATTTGTCCTTTTGAAAATTCACTTTGACATACAATTGCTCAAAGGTTTTTTTTATGCTAAAAGACACTAATAAAAATATCTGCTATTATTATGCTGGGTTATATGAAACAATGGATATTTGTTTCCAAAATGCATTGCATTTGTATAAAAAAAATTATTGTTATAATTTTGAATACATAATGTAGCTCACTGTAGCCTTGGTAACATAGACTGGGGCTGGTTGTGATATACTGTACTGTAGATGCTTATCAAAGACCTAATAGGAGTGGCGATGTCAGGTCTGAAAACATAGTAATAGTGAAATAACAATTTATTATTATAGTGAAATTAGAAACACTATTTGAGACCTGAAGCGTAGTGGAAATGTCATCGTATAGGGTCAGTGGTGTAGATAGATTTCCTTATGCACGGACTCGCATGTAGGGGCATGGAGAGCATTTGACTAGGAGTCACCTTAGGGTAGTGATAATTTTATGCAATAGTTTAAGAATGTTTTAGTGTAGTAGAATGGTGTAGGAGCATAGAGACTTAAAGCGTCCCATGGTTGTGATATTTATCCAATGGTCTATGAATTCATAGTGGTTTTGAACCTCCTATGGTATAAGTTGCATGGTCAACCTTGACTACAATATTTATGCAATTGTTGGCATTATGCCAATACTTTCTGCCAGTGATGGCTGTTGTATGTAGACATTCCACAAGACTTAATCCAGGCTGAGGGAAGTTGACCGCAGATTCATATTATTTCAAATTTCCTCCCCTGTTGGAATAACATTGGACCTGGATGACTGCCCTAAATTTCTAATTCACAAGATCCTGCAGCCACTCAGCCATAATTTACTTTTAATTTGTTCTGGTTTTGTTACCGATGAACTACATACGTTTTAAGGATGATTAAATGATGTTTATTATTGTTTATCAATGTGACTGATATCTGCCAATCCTACTGAAATTTTAACCCTGCTTCTTTAATGTACATATGTGTTAAATATTGCCCTCGAGACTCAATCAATGGAATAAAAAGTAAAAAGACCATTTAAAAAAAAAAAGATTCTTCATGTTTCAGTCAACTGAGCTCTTTTGCTCCTCACTCCCTTTGTGTTTTGTTTGCTTCTTTACCAGTACAAAGTTTGTGATGTATATTTGATTCAATTTCTCACAAACTTCTATCCCTTTTGCAAAATAATTTTCTTAATATAAATGACCACAATTTTTTTATTTTAAATTTTAAAAAAATGAAATGCCAAGGAAAAAGTGTAATAAAAGCTGACCTAGACTTTTTAGGAAGGGACAAAATCCAGGATGGTGCATAAATTGCATGTCATGCCCTGGGAATAATAATCGGAGTAGCATCAAACTGTGAGTCATTGCCTAGCAACTGCTGGTTTCCTTTCCTTGCTATATTAATCAGCTTTATTTGGTTGCAATATAATTAATATAAATAAAGCATGTAAAGTATGCCATTCCTTCCCTCACCCATGATGCAAAGTAATATCATTTTTACTTTTGTAAATTGGAAAAGCATCGGTTTTAACGGAGGGAAAAAATGATCATTTATATATAACACGTTATATTTTCATTGTAGATTTTTTGGGCTCAGTACGGACTCCAAAAGTATGCATTTTCTTTTAGTTTTATAGCGTATGCGGATTTTATAAGTCCGCAATGACGATATAACGTGTTATATGATGCAATTTAATAATTATAAGGGTTTTTATATTTATTCATTTCATCAAATCAAAACAAGAAAATTGACCTTTTAGTATGTTAATAATTATTCTCCACATTATAATCTTTAAAATGATAGGTCATTTTAGTGGAATAGAGTTAATATTGCCAAAGTTATGAGTAAAAGTATTACGGCTTTTCTGGACTAAAGTATACAATACTGTCACATTCTTATGCTAATTACTCATTTTAATATTTAGCAACAGTTAGGCCTTTGCTGATTTTGGGGTGACAAGTCTCATATTTTATGTATGACGATATACAGAATGACACTTGTTTTTGTGTATTCATGCACTAATGTAAAACAAAGTGAATTGGTCTCCATAGACGCTGATGGTAAATGGGTACAATTACCTTAAAATATATTAGGCCTAATATGTTGCTTAGTTTTGTTTCACAAGAAACAGAACATCTTGCTTTCATTGGATACTGAAAACATGCATGAAAATGGCAAGATGCCAATATGTTAATATGCTAATAAGTGATTCACTTTGATGGTCCAATGGTATTAGAGCATTTAAACATAATTAAAGCCTCCTGTTAAAATTCTTTAATTAGATTAAATATTGAGATGTGCAGTCTATGAAAATCATGATTATATGTCAATTAATATTATCAGTCATTCAAGGTGTGCTGTTGTTTACTTTATGTTTACATTTCTTAGTTCATTGCTTCTAGGCTTTAGGTCACAAATAGTGCAAAAGGAGTATTTTTTTCTGTCTTAATTCTTATCCTTATGTTACCTAATATCTCTCCTATCTAGCAAAAAAGAAAAAGAGCAAAACCATAAATATAAAATGCCTGTTCAGTACCAGTTGTGACTCGGTCGTTTGATGCCTTCATCGCTTTCATCAAAGAGGCAACCTTATGTGTCTCCAACCAATGATACCCCTTGTCCTCCTGTCATCTCCTCGCGGCTATCAATTTTACCCTCGATCTGTGAAGCCTCTCCGTAGTAGACCTACTTAGGTGCGGATCTGTGTTATGGTGGCTAATGTGCTTAGAGTACCGTCAAATCCATTTCAATATTGCTGCCAACATCAACATCTTTTAACATACTCGTCACTTAATAAAAATGACAAAATTATCAGCCTAACCCGTTGGAACTCTCTGCCCCCACTATTACCTATCCTCTCTGATCAGAATTATTGAAATCCAATCTGAAATCCTTCCTCTTCAAATAGCTCAACATCTCCCAGCGCCGGTGCCTGTCTCTTATACACATCTAGATGTGTATTATAGTATTATATAGTATAGTACAGGTGGATATAAATGTGTGTTTACATAAAACACTGTTTATTTTTCTTGAAGCTAAACAGAACAAAAAAGACAAGAAAAAAATGTTGATGTCTTTATAAAAGAAAAAATTTTAATGTCTTTATAAAAAGTAGAATAAATTTAATCCATGACAGAAGCATGTACCCCATGGAAAATAGTGTTCCTTGGACCTGGATCCCCTTCTCATTACTAATAGATCTCCAAACGGG